AAGACCGGAAATCATTTTACACAGTTCAACCTCTGACATTTTAATTCATTTTGAGTTCACGCGTATTGGGCGTGTTTGTTGGCGGGGAAAATCCTAATTCAGATGATTTCTCACTGTCGATTTTTATTATTTCTGGTTTATTTGTCACATTATAAGCAGTACGGTACATTATTTTTGTTTTACTTCTAGTGTTGCATATTGTTCAGTTATTTTCGTTGCATGTTTTCATTTGCCCACAGTCCCTGTGATGGAGGGACTGTGATTTGCCGTTCTATTCCCTGCCGTAGTTCGATCTGCGTGTTGTCAATTTTGGGGAATTTTCGTTTTTTTTGCCGGGGATCTCCTGGCAAACGCCCACCCCTTCTTTTTGGCAATTTTCCATGTTCAGAACCCTGGGCCTATACCCGGATAAATACGGTATAAGAACTAATTGAGAATAGTGAATAATTACCAAACAATATGATTACCTACTATCAATGTTCTATTTATTAGAAAAAATACTGTCCAGTTTGGCCAGTATTAACAATACAATAGGCCACTGTAAATAAAACATTCTACATCTGGCAGTGGTTTTCAATGTACTAGTAGTTAAAACATCATCTGCTGAAAGCTTCCACAGAGATACCAAAATCAATAAGAAAAAAGGACATCAGCAGTTAATGTGTTAACAAAACTTTGTTTCATATTCAGCTCTTCATCAGCTTTTATCAGATGATCTGAACAGTGGTTTAACAGGACACGACAATAAACGGTGTATTGTCTGCACACCGGAAGCTGCACAAAAAGAAGTTGAAATAGTAAGTTGTGCTGTTCAACTTGTTTCTTACCGTATATTCTTGTCAAGATTTATTCACATGGTGTATCACATTGTCGTTATTGCATCTCTCTAATCTAAGCATGTTTTTGTGATATTTTATTAGACTGAAGATTTAACAAATCACAATGAAAGAGGAGCATCATTTATGAATAAACTTACATCGACTTTTAAATCAAAATCTGCCACAGTCAAGGAAAAAATGATAGATTTTATTAAAAATGAACAGCCTCCAATTGATAGGTGAGTGTGATTTTACTTCAAATAAAACTATTTATTAAAACTTGTTCAAATATGCTACCATGTACCATAATATTGGGAATTGGAATGTTATTAAATAGGATTCTAATACAGTAAGGTTCAATGAGGTTTATGTATGCAGCAAATTAGTACTGTGATCATGTTGATTAGGAGGTCTAGGAAAGTGTTGGCACAGTTTTGAATGATCAGAAACTCAGTTTTTCACACAATGCTAAATTCTATTATTTTCTGCACCAGATGTTAATACTTTCATTCAGATGGAATTATCTATTGTTTTTAGTAGCAGATTTGTAATAATGATTATTTTTGTTTTAGACATGTGAGTAGTCATGATACGGGGAAGCCATATCGTGGAGTGAAACCAGTATTTACTATAAATGATGATGAAGATGATGGAGGTGAGGTCAAGGGTCAATATGTACTGCCATCTATATTACAGTATTCAAACATACTGACTTACAACTGTCATTTTCTTTATTCACAAATTTCCGCCAAAATTGCGCTGAGAGTGAGTGAGTAACCTGACTTGTTTTGTCGCCTGAATAATGTTCCATTGTCTGCCACCATCACGTCATTGTTGTAAATAGCATGTTACATCGGTCAGTGGAAGAGTGGACATGTGGTGATAAAGAATGGAACACTATTGAGGGGGGGAAAATAAGTCACATGTCTCTCCAACAAATAATCGCTATTGACTCTTGGTTTAAAATTAAAATCCTAAATTTACTTGCGAGTAAAAAAAATGGCAATTTATTCACCATGCCCTATCTGCAAGTGTAATTCTTATAGAGGGAATGTATGCAAATACATCTATTCTATGCATCACTCTGTAAACGAAAAAAACTCTTCTGTAAAAATATATATGGGTGAAACCAATACTGTTCAAATTGACCACTGTGATTGTGTAGACGTTCTTCATTTATTTAGAATATAGTGAAGCTCCCAATTATTTTTTTTTTTAAATTGACAAATTGATGATTAAAACAATATCATTTCAATATCAATTTTGTGAATGACCTTCCATTCACCCATTTACATCACAGAAGTGTTTCACCTCTAGAGGGCGCAACTTATGCAAAAGATATGTTGCATGGGGGGGTGATTATGCTGTACAAATATCAAAGTGAATATGCAGTCTGTAGGTTTATCTTGACATGAGGTTTTAAGTCTAAAAATGATACGTGATATCAATTGATGAAATCTGCCTTTAAACATACTTCTTTATAACTGAAATATTGATCTATCATCTAGGATTTAATAATACTGTTTTGTGATTAAATAAATTATGGTGTTTCTGAGCACAAAATTCTGCAAAAGTCGCTGTATCCCCATGTCTTTAGGACATACTCCCTGTGAAATTTTCATTGCTACACAATAAATTTTCCTTTCATGAATCTATCTTTTAGGATGCAATATTGTAAACTGTTTTGTGATGAAATAAATTAATGGTGTTTCTGAGCACAAAATTCTGCTACAGTCGCTGTATCCCTGTGAAATTTTCACTGCCACACCATAAATTTAACTAGTTTACAGTTATTTGTGTTATGGGCATCTGGACAAGATGTGCCCATGCATGTGACGTGATTGTGCATCAATGCATTATTTGCATGCAGAGAACAAAGGTACATGGTGAGTGGTATAAATGAAGTTAAATTCAAAGTACCACTAATACAATTGAAGCCTTTTATCATAACTAGCTTTCTGACTTGCTATAATGTCATTGGTAACTAGATGAAGTTGGTAGTTTTGGTTCATCAGACGACGAGAGACGAGAAATAATTCACATAGAGACATGGCTGAAGAAATCAGATGTAAAGTATAGTTATCAGTGTCAGGAAGTCAACGAAAATGGCTACATGGTACCAAGGTAAACAATTACTGTCAATGACATCACTACAGGAATCTTTAAAAAAATCATCAAACATCATGTGTGCATCACATGGATATCAAGAATGATGTTTATTCATTCAATTGTTTCTGGCAGGAGCTCATCCCAAAACTGTGAAAAAAACAACATCTTTTAGTTGATGACCATTCATCACTATTTCAGTATCCAGAACTAGCCTGTGAATTAAGGCATGAAAAGAGCCAGGCAATTTGCTGTATAGATGTGAAAAACTGAAAATAAACCAGTGCACATTGTTTGACTAGCAATCTGTATTCCAAATGATAAAGCATGAGATTGTTGAAAGTTGAATTGGCTATGTACTGTGGAATACTTTATTTTCGCTGGAATTAATTTTCGCTGAAAAGGTATTTTGGGCATTTTGCTTGGAATTTATTTTCACTGATTTTTGATGAGATTAAAATAAAATATAGGAAAAAATGTATATTCGCTGGATTTTATTTTCACGGAATCATCCCTTCAGCGAAAATAGCGAAAATAAATTCCAAGCAAAAATAAAGTATTCTACGGTACCTACATGTTATTCATATCTGCATGTATCTTCATTTACAGCTATTTATTAGTGACCAATAGCCACTTGTATATCCTGAGAGAAACAAGTCATAAACCAGGATTTGCATTGATACAAGGACGCCGACCTCTGAACACAATTGTGAAGATTACTTCAAAGAAGAGACACCCCGAGCTAATAACATTCAGATATGGGACTTTAAATGACGATGGAATGAAAATAGAATCACTGAATAGGTTTATAATACCTAAAGCTGGTGATGCCACCAAATCGATTAAAATGCAAATTATGAAAGTTTTGGACGCTTTGAGTACGTAAACACAACTTGCCATCTCTCATATGTGAATTATTAACTAATAATGTGCAATTTTAGAAGTGAACTGGTCATGTGATTCAACCAGTCATGTGACAATATCAGGTGATTAATGTCCTTAGTAGGTGGATTCAAGCACTAGTCATACTAATCATCTTGTACTCATAGAATTAGTGGAGCACATATTTTTTTATTTAAGCAGAAAATACAAAAATAATTACTTTGGATAAAAATAAATTTAAATAATACAAAGTGAGTTTGCTTTTTAGAATATTGGGTTCTATAACCAACTCAGCATCGGAAGCTCAGAAAATTTAATTTCTGGATTACATAAGTAATTATTGATATATCATTCATACCTTGTATTCTCAGAACACAATTGTTATCTTTAAACAAAATCTTTTTTTTTTTATGAAGAGAACTGGTTTGGCCCTTGTAGTTTCCGATGAACATCCAATGATCTAGCACACAGTAACTGGCATTGTTGTATGTGTAATCTACATATAGTTATATAAAGCTTTTTTTATCATTTTTTTATTCTTTTTAGATAATATATATATATATAACAACAAAGGTGGATAAATATGTAAGGGTATGTAACTTCCATATCCTTGTTTGATGACATGTGATAGAAAAAACAAACATTTTATTAATTTCAAGAAAATTGCAATTTTGTGTAAAATCTTGGAGATATTCAGCACATGTCAACAGTTACATACCTTTATCTACTTTTGATAAGTTGAGAATGCAGACATAAGTTTAACTTTGTATCATTATGGCCCTTAATTCACATTTGACTTTCCTGCTTGGATCACATGACTGTTCGATTTCATTGCAAATAACCTTTGACATATCCTGTCTATTTGCAAATTTTGATACCAATATGAATCATAAAAATATTAGTAGTACTTGGTGCAATCCAAGGCTTTGTCCTCAATAAAATTAAACTTGCCAGGAATTTTATATATATTTGCATACATTTGCATAATTAGTGAATTTGTAAATGGTGATTGGGCATTTGAAATGTGACACATGTACATATATTAGCTGGTACAGGATATTTACTGCCTGCATTTTTGACCAGTTTGCTCACTTTCATATAGTACCGGTATATACATTTATAACAAACAAATGTTCTCCTGTCTTTTACTAATTGGTAAATCAAATATTTCTCTTCCAACTCAGTTTGCTGCCATTTCCCACAGAATTTTCTAGGAATACTATTTGCTTGATTTATTTCATCTATGTATGTATGTATGTCTGTTCATTCGGTAAAAATTGGAGTATATTAGACTTGCAGGTTTCAATATCACATGGTATTTTTGTCAGTCTTAAATTTTGCTGTCTCATTCATGTTTGAATTGAAAGATTGTAAAATCCTGAAAAAATTGGCCTTTATTTGGTACAAGTTGGTGACCATACCGGTACATGTCATAAACCTACAGGGACCTGACAGACTATGTCCCAGTACAGGACCTTATCCTTGCTCAAAATAATAGAAATTATAGAATTGAAACAGTTTGTTAATGTAAAGCAAGCATATGTCAGAAAATTTAATTATCCACACTCTAAAAAATCACAATTACTTGTTATCTGCACTATACTTATCATTATGGATTAGTGTAATTTCTATTTTTTTGAACAAGGATTAGTTTCTGCAACCAACCAGATGAATAAATCGTCAGGCTCCTGTGCATAAACCATCTTTGAAAGCACCACAGTCTGCTGATGTAATGTGACAGAATATCTTGCACATGAGAAATCCTTAAATGAGGCATTGTTACTACACTATGTCAGCAAAATACTAAATACCCATATTTTTTATGTTTGGTCCTTGTGTTGTATTTTATCATAGCCATGGTGATATCCAGTGTGGTTGTATCTTATTATTGCCAAGGTGATAACCAGTGTGTGTGTTGCATCACATGAACCTTTGCCATGGTAATCGTCCGTGTGTTGCATATCATTGTTGCCAATTTTTTTACACATGATTTCAATACAAACAATATCCCTGTTCAAGCCTTTGGTTGTTATTGTTAAAATGCATGGACTATGATTACCGGTAGTTAACATTTGATGGCAAATTGTTTAAGGATGTTTGATAACTTTGTTTGAAGGCAATAGATATCATGGTTATCTATTAATTCAGTTTCAAATGCATTGTGATGTTAGTGCCACCGGTGAGTGTTGTAAATAGTATAGAGGGGGGGTGTATGAAAGCCTCACAATTGGTCTCTGTTTGAAGCACAGCAACTGAAAAGTGTCTGTCATCATACACACCACATGTTAGAATGTAAACAAATATCAGCATTTCACATGTCCTTGTATCAAACACAGAATGGTGGCGACTGATGCTTCAACTTCTGACATTCACGAATTTCTACTGCTGTATACTGAATCATTAAAATTTGACTTGTTTTGTAATTTACAGAAATGCATGCGCTGCTAGTAGAACAAATATGTTAATCAAATCTGATGCATTCCTTCTGTCGCCTTCACTCTTTATTTTATTTTTACTGAGCTTGTAAGATAATAAGGACCAATTTGGGTGAATTGTGCAGTTATGTATGTGAAATATTTTTTGTTCACCCATGCATGTAAATATAGAAATTATATTTTGTTTAATATTGTGACTGAAGCATCGGCTAGAAGCCACTTTGTGATTGGCTGATGAGTTATTGCCATTAGCAAGAAGTAGATTAGTAATTCATGTAAAGGGAACTGATTTTTGATTGGCTGAAAATAGCGATTTTGTATAAATGTACAAAATTAACTCTGACTTTCGTATAGATGAATATTACGATTCTCAGTGGAACAAAGGCATTCTTTTTGTCTTTATAAATAGTTCATTCAATAGGCCGAAGGAAACCACGTTTTTCAGTTTGAATTGTGAAACATTTTCAAATAATGTGCGTTGATTGGCTGGTTGAATTCAACTGCCATTGAAAATATTTAAAAAGATTAAGGGAATGCGTTAGTTGCGCCAAGAGTAAATATAGTGGAGTGGATTCTATCATGCAATATTATTTTAAAATTGAAATGTAATGAGCATCATAGGATTGTATTATTGAAACTATTCTTTGTAAGAGTGCCAAGTTTTGTGCTTGGGTAGTCTTGTGATATTCAACAATCCAACTTTTATGTATATTCAGTTTTTAGATTGGTAAAGTGTAGTAAAAATACATCAAATTGTCTGTTTATTTACAAAAGTCTTTTTATTTGTATGCCACTAACCCCATGCTGTCTTCACATGTCCTTCAATATACTCTGTATAAATCTGCTGCCCCAAACCATCTATAAATATATATTTTGGTGCTATTCAAAAAGTTCTGTCAATAATGCTCCTATTTTCAAATAAAATATACACGTGTTCACGAGCTTTGACTTTTCAGATCTGCACAATGCTCTAACTTGATCAACATAGTGTTCAAGATAGTTCAATGTTATTTATACGAGAGTGATTTATTTCGCTTGCGGTCATAAAAAAACACCCTCTCGCAAACAGCACATGTGGTGTGTATAGCGTTCTAATTGAGAAGCACAAAGTAGATTTTAGATTTGATCATTTTTGCTAATCAGCAATCGTGTGCATACCTCTTTTGTGGTGTTCCCCACCACAAAATACTTTTATATATGGTGCCTTAGATTCTATTTAAAGAGGGCGGTATTCACATCAGCGAAGTAGATTCTCATTGTGGTATGCAATATGTTGATAATCACCATCTTAGATTACATGAAAACTACAGAGTAAAATATATATCTGCTTTGGACCATAAATTGTCATGTGGCACTACATATAACAGCTGGTTCGACTTTAATACTCGGTACTGGCATTGTCTTTTCATTCCATACAACATATGGAAATCCAGGATACTCGGTTGCATTATCACTCCATGATTTGACCGTTCCAGCTGCACCACAATTACCCTGAAATAAAATAAATATAATACCATACATGACAATGTTACAAAGATCAAAATATTGTTTTAATTTGTTGAAACCACATGTAATAGAATTCTTGCCAGTAAAACACATGTTACCCAGCTCAACTCCTACAAAATGGATGTAAACAAAACACACAGATTTCTCAGAAAAGCAGCCAGTTTCAAAGTGTCTAATCAAGAGTTGCCCAGATCCACAGGTCTTCGGTACATGTCAATAAGGCCAGACTTTTATTATCCCTTGTTTCGTGAACCCGCCAAATGAACAAGGAGCCGAAAATGAAATAAAAATATAATTTTATTTCAGCGTAATTTCTTGCGCCCGCCAACTTGTAGGCGCAAAAAAATGCTAAAAAAATATTATTTTTATCTTCATTTTTTTACTGCCCGCCGCACAACATATCCAAGTTGCATTTTCGTGGGAGTATCATGATCAAAGTACCGAGGTCTAGCACAGATGAGAAACAAGATTATACATGGAATAAAATTTTATTTCATTTCTTTTGTCCGATCAATGATCTCACTTACAATTCTTTGAGAATCACACAAATCTAATGGAAAAAAAGAATTAATTTTATTTTTTTCCCGCCCTCCTATAAAAACTCGCAAAACAAGGAATAAAAAAGGTCTGGCCTAAGCAAAGCTACACACACAAGTCTAACAGCTGACGTAATTGAAGTACTCCCTCACACATCGGAAAAAACGCAATCATGTATAACAGTACTGGCATCCATCAGGCATTCTTATTTTTGTCCAATTTTACAGGTATCCCTAGTTCAGAAATACTGTACACTAAGAATCCCTAGTTTAGTGTAATTGCCCACCAAGCATCCCTCGGCAATCATATTGCCCATGAATCTTAAATGGGGTTTAACTGCACACCAGGCATCCTGATGCAGTCTAATTGCACATCAGGCATCTCTGGTTCAGTTGTATGTTACACAACAATGTTTACTTGTTTACCTGTTTGTCCATTGCGATAAATCCTACTTCAAATATATTATTCACTCCAATTCTTTCAGAGATATTCGTTACCATCTGTTGACAAGCAGATTGCACATCCAAACCCTGAAACGAAAATGATTCAATTCAACAATGTCTGATATAATGTATACTACAGTAGTTCCACAGATTAAATCATACATTGAAAAATAATGGAAGCATCCAAATGGCTCATTAGAGACAATATTGTCAGTGGATGTGAAATTTCCAATAAAGTTGCATACTTGTTTCATGTACTGTACTATCTGAAAAGTGCAACAAAACCTCATAATTTCATCTCCATTACCAGTTGCTGTGAATAAAAATGACATCAATATGTTTACAATATAATGTGACATACACGGGATATTAAGGGGGTATAAGCTAGTGCTAGTTCAATTATGCCACTAGCAAGGTAAACTGGTTTTGTAGCAATGTGTACCAGTTTTGTTTTTGATGCACTTCTAGACAGCAAATTAATTCTCATGCGAGGACATTCAGTCATTTTCACCACCTGGCAATCATTGCGGTGAAAACAAAAGCCGAAAACCATCAGAAAATGGTACTTTAGTATAGTTGTCCAGGCTCCCCTGAATATGGTAAAAAGATTATGCCTACATGTGTAACATATATAAATTTGGTTGTTCAGGATTACTTCAAAGTTGAGTTTGTGCTGTTTTCTTGACTTCAGCTGTTTTCATAGGCTTTGACTGGCATTCCACAGCAGCTAGTGCAGGGCCCATAGAAATACACGGTACAGTGGTGCACGTCTTAGCAACGTGGAACGTCTTCAAATTGTCAACATGCCTTAAATTCTCACAAGGTGCCAATACTAATCAAATTTCCTTTCTTCTACATGCCTATTAATCAATTTTTCAAATCTAATTACAATCATATGCCTACTAATCATATTTTCACATGCTTCTAATCAAATTTCCACCATATGCCTGCCAATCGAGTTTCCCCAATATGCCTACTCATAAAATTACAATCATGTGCTTACTAATTCAACCATTTTATGAATGAAGGGAATCATACAGCTGTTGACTAGAGTCACTGTAGCTATAACAGAGACAACACATGAAGTTCTTAGAAGAAGCTAAGGATACATTTTTCCTTATATGGAAATTGCATTACCTAATAAGGAAGGATGCAGAAAGGAAAATTTATTTTATGTCTAACAAAAGTGAACTCACCTGCTGCAGCCCCAATCTGAGAAAAAACAAAATAGATTATTTGCATACCATAATTTTTTTAAATGACAAATTATTGTGAAAACTCCAATACCACATACAACTACACTTAATATTTTATTTATTAATATTGTTATAAGGAATCGCAGACAAAGAGCCAAATTCCAGTTTTGGAATGAGGGCAAGTTGAAGACATTTCACAGTATTCTGCTACTTCAGGTTTTTTTTATTTGATAATTCCAAGTTAAAATGGAGCATTCTATGGCTTCCTTGGGGCCAAAATTACTATCAGACAGGTCACAGTTGAAGACTGTGGCCACATGTGATCCCTGGTCAATCAGAATTTTATGGTTGCCAGAGGATCTGCTCCTGAGGGTAAGGGGGTCCATGGCCATGACATGAGGGCGCTGTGCCCCTGTTCCCTTGTTTAATAAAATCCCCACAAAAGGATGCTGGACTTTTTTTATTTGCCAACTATTCAAATTCCCACAAATTGTGCATGATTGTTCACAGATAGGGAAACTACAGAAATGTTCAGTTTACTTTTAATCTGGTTGTAGTTATAAATACTGTAGTAGTCATGGGTCTGCTTGATAAGCACAGTGTGATTGAAACCTACCTGATTATCAGCATAGAGTCCACACCCAGGTAATGGTGAGTCACCAACTCTACCAACATGTTTATTTGGTGAACCACTTGTAGATGAACCTATCATACAATAACGATCATTAAATATTAATACATTGTTTCACACATACCGGTACCATAGTATTATTTCATACAGACTGGTAACTCACCAAATTAAATCTATATATAAACATTTACATAAACATTTTGTTTACTAGCCATTTTATTTATTACTGTTTTATAACTTACTGTATTTTTCATTTGAATATTGATAAAGATATGTCATCAATTAATTATTGTACATCTTATAGTATATATATTTATTAAAATTTAAAATTACTTAATTCTCACCTACGGCAATGTTTCCATGACGATCTAAGATTATCATACACACAGTGTCATGACATGGTGATGAACTATCTACTGGTACCTATTGATTGAAGAAAAGAACAAATGTACAACCAATCATAGTGACTGGCGATCCACCAATCAAAATGACAGTCATGTAGTTAATTTACATGTGTTTAATAAATTACAATATCTGAGAAAGAATGTAACATTTTGACTGAATTCTGTAACTTTAAATGTCAATTTTAATTTATAGTGCCATCAATGTGTTTCCTTAAAAAAACCTCTTCAAAATAAAGTTAAATGACAATGGTCCTCACACTGATGACGACCATCACCCATTAAGATACTACAGACAATGCCTCAATTATATAGAGGCTGCCCCCTGGCGAACTGGTGTAATTAACTTTTGTTTTTTTAACAAAAATTATTTTTTGCACTTTTGCTCTCAGTTTGTCTGTTTAGAACATTTACCATGGCAATGATATATTTCCATGTCTGAAAATTGTATTACAGTGGCCCCTCGCTAAGTCGCGGGTGTTGGGATCCAAGCAAAAACCGCAACTTATCGAGGGCCGCGACTTACCGAGGGACGTCGTGAAAGAGGGAGGTCGTGCATTGAAAAACATATAAAAAGCACATATAAACCCTCGGTTTAGTTAATTGATGTATCATCACATGTGTCAGGCAGTATTCGAATAAAATCATGATTATGTTTGCTGTAAACATTGCGTTGATTATTTTGTTTGTGTCTGATATTATGTGGGCCGCTTGCTGTTGTTTGCGACTTCGACGGTAACAGCTTCCAAAATAAACCAGTTTCATCGCAATTATAAACATGTTCGTCAAAATAACCACCTTCATAGATAATTTCTCTCAGTTTTTCGGGAAAAGTTCCGACAGCGTCAATGTTCCCAGATCGAGCTTCGTCTTGGATTGAGACTGCGTGTGTCGATAGC